GCTATCACGAACGATAGCGAAACGAAGTGCCTTATCGTCATCGGGTGGATATTCATAACAGCCAAAAACTATAAAACACGTGATGTCGATTCTAAATGCGGAGGTGAAAAAAAGAAAGGACCCGGACAAAAATCCACGCGACCACAGGGGGAGAGAGACACGCAAACTCCAAATATACAACAGACGTCAGGGTCGGGATCGAACCCACAACCTCCTGTATACCAGGGGAGGTAGTTCACATCTCGCGACCACGAGGACAGAGAGAGAGACACGCAAACTTCAAGTATACAACAGATGTCAGGGTCGGGATCGAATCCACGACCTCTTGTATACCAGGCGTCAATCATAAGGGGGGGGGGGTAGGGTTTGTTTGACCATACTTCACAACGCTAGTCAGTGCGGGCATTGCCGAAGGTCGGTGCCGCCCAGGATTGGCTTGGATATCACTCAACCACTCGTGTTAAGCCGTGTCCGGGAATCGACCGGACCGCCGGGGGTCGCCAGGTCACGGCAAAGCGCCGCCCAAAACCGCTGCGCCCCGTTCTGTAATCAGCACTTCAATCTCGTGCGTTGAGCCGCGCTAATAGAAGTGAAATAGGGGAAAAATGCGTACACTATGCATACGCTTGCACTCATTACCCACGCAAAAAGCGCTTGCCACAAATGAACCACGGTAACCTCGCTGATCTCGTCAAGGAGCGTAAACCATCATCACGCGAACTCCCGCCATGTTCGCAGCGGCGGCTTTTCTGCTAACCCGTTGAACAAAGACGGTCACCGGCATCGCATGCTTCCGATATTAGAAAGGCAACGGAGCAATGCACTTTTAAATCTAGATTGAAAACTCATTTCTTAGAAATGGCCTTTCGTCTTTAGTTTGTTGTCCTTCCCCCGCACCTGTGATAGCACGGTTGCCTACGTACGATGCCGAAAAAGTTCAGCATACATACATACTGCCCATAGACTAACACTGCCCATAGACTAACACTGCCCATAGACTAGCACTGCCCATAAACTAACACTACCCATAGACTAACACTGCCCATAGACTAACACTGCCCATAGACTAACACTGCCCATAGACTAACACTGCCCATAGACTAACACTGCCCATAGACTAACACTGCCCATAGACTAACACTGCCCATAGACTAACACTGCCCATAGACTAACACTGCCATAGACTAACACTGCCCATAGACTAACACTGCCCATAGACTAACACGGCCCATAGACTCAACACTGCCCATAGACTCAACACTGCCCATAGACTCAACACTGCCCATAGACTCAACACTGCCCATAGACTCAACACTGCACCATAGACTCAACACTGCCCGTAGACTCAACACTGCCCGTAGACTCAACACTGCCCGTAGACTCAACACTGCCCGTAGACTCAACACTGCCCGTAGACTCAACACTGCCCGTAGACTCAATACTGCCCGTAGACTCAACACTACCCATAGACCCAACACTGCCCCATAAACTCAACACTGCCCATAGACTCAACACTGCCCATAGACTCAACACTGCACCTCCCGTATGTATATCTCGCAGCTATTCCCTTATCCACTGCTGAAAGACAGGACATGGGCGCCACGGTGGCTTGGAGATGTTAACCACCTCACCTGGTATACAGGAGGTAGTCTGTTCAATCCCGACCCTGACGCCTGCTGTATATTTGGAATTTGCATATCTCTTTCTCTCTCCCTGTGATCGTGTGGATTTTTTTCCGGGGTCCTCCGGGTTTTCCCTCCACATTTAGAATCAACATGCCCTTTAGAGCAGCGGTCCCCAACCTTTTTGGCACCAGGGACCAGTTCCGTGGAAGACAATTTTTTCACGGACGGGGGGGGGGGGGGGTTCATCATTGGGTCTTTCCCTCTTTTCAAAGAAGCTCTCCATCGACGTTCGTTTTTTTATTAATGTTGGCCAGGGGTTAGCAGCTTGTGGGCTTACTAAATCCGTGACTGAGACAAGCGCGCAGTGCTGGAAAGAAGGCGCGGATGAAAGTGGTAAATAAAATAACGGGCGGGTTCCACGCGCGGACTCACCGCTCTCACCTCCTGCTGCTGTGAGGCCCGGTTCCTAACATGCCACGGACCGGTACCGGTACCGCGGCCCGGGGTTTGGGGAGCCCTGCTTTAGAGTATTTGGCTCCGATAAATGTCTACGTGACAATAAGCCCACTTGGTTGAGCTATTAATTATTTGTGATGGCCGGGTCCCTTCTGAAAAAGAGCTTTCTATAGGGAGTGCAAGACTCGCTATTTTCTCATGGATTTTACTTAAACATTATTTTATTGTCTTATTTTATCTTCTTGGTTCTTTCGGTAAAGTCACGTAGAATCGAAATAATAAAAATAAAACATAATAAAATAATTCTCACGACGTTTCGGCCACAACGCAAGCAGCCGTCCTCAGGTGGAGAGCAGGTCTGTCGAGTAGACAGAGTCTGAATGACACACTCCAGAGTTGGAGCGACTATTTAAGCTGGGATGGAGGGGGGAAGGGTGCCTTGACAAAAGAATTTGCATATCAAGAGGAATTTAGCATATTCATGGGAAATGCAGATATGCGATTAGTACTACTTGTGAAATGCGTAGGAGGTTTGGTGGGGGATTTAAAGTCATTATGCCCGTGCATTATGTCTTATTTTAGTATGCGATGTTTTGATACTCCCTTGAGTGGAGGTGATATTACATTTAAAATAAATAGGGTAGACTTTTTGCGAAGGTATATAGCTCAGTGGGGCCTTACCTGGTAAAAAAATAATAAAAATGTTTATTAGTTACAGTGAGTTCCTTGTCGAGCTGGGCGGCGCTGCCTGCTGGTCACTTGAGGAAGTTGCGTTCCGTTTCATTGAGACGCTGGTAACTGCGCCCCAAAAAACTCTGTATCCCACCCGCCCCACACCTTCAGTCGCCGCACACTGCTGCCACCTCGCGTGCATTTCCTCCTTCGGCTCTCTAAACACGCGATCGTCGAGAGCAGGGGGGTCGTCGGCACGACCCGCGGCTTGGGACCCGCGTGCGGTGGCTCTTTAAAAGAAACTGCAGTGCGGCGCTTGAAAGTCGAAGGGAAAAATATGTGTCTTGTTATTTTGGATGCAGACCCCTGACCATGGAAGCCCAGTTTACCGTGGAAGTCCAGTTAACCATGGGAGTCCAGTTCACCATGGGAGTCCAGTTCACCGTGGAAGTCCAGTTGACCATAGGAGTTCAATTTACCATGGGAGACCAGTTTACAATACAAGTCCAAATGACCATGGGAGTCCAGTTCACCATGGAAGTCCAGTTTACCATGAAAGTCCAGTTTACAATGTAAATCCAAATTACTATGGGAGTCCAGTTTACCATGGAAGTCCAGTTTACCATGGAAGTTAAGTTTACCATGGGAGTTCAGTTTACCATGGAAGTCCAGTTTACCATGGAAGTTAAGTTTACCATGGAAGTTCAGTTTACCATGGAAGTCCAGTTTACCATGGAAGTTAAGTTTACCATGGGAGTTCAGTTTACCATGGAAGTCCAGTTTACCATGGAAGTTAAGTTTACCATGGAAGTTCAGTTTACCATGGAAGTCCAGTTTACCATGGAAGTCCAGTTTATCATGGGCAGGGGTCGGCAACCTGCCGGACCAGAGCAGCATGCGGCTCATTAAGGAACCGCTTCGTAACCGTTATCTATCAAGGACCACCACCGTCTCGTATTCGCCACGCGCATTGCGGATCTTGAAATAGGTATTTGTTACCGAATTCGAACAAAAGTGGCTCTATCTTGACTTAAAACGTGCGTGACTGCAGGAATTCATATTCCATGGTTCTTTTGGTAAAGTCATGAATAGAAAAAAATATTAAATAATACAAATAAAGCGATTATAAATATCACGACATTTCGATCGCAACACAAGCGGCCGAAACGTCGTGATATTTTTATTCACTTTCTTTTTATTACGTAGATAGAAAAGATATTTGATTGTTATATTTTTCTATCTACGTGACTTTACCGAAAGCATCATAGAATATGGCTCTATCTTGCTATTTTGGTTGCCGACCCCCGATTCAAAGTGACGTTCTGACCCCGTGCCCCTACTGGGCATCCGTATAAGAAGATCTTCATAGCTCATCGGATTGCCCCGGTATAACAGTGCCACGTGATTTTCAGCCACTTCGTTGAGCCATCATTTGTGGCCAGGTGGCTTCTGAAAAAGAGCTTCCATAGCTCAGTGCGCCTTACCTGGCCAAATTAAAATTATTTAGTTTTAGTTTAATAGTTGAGAGACGCTGCCCGACTCCATACTTGGCTCACCGCGTAATCCTCCTTCCCACCCTCCTCCCCCCACCCCCCCCCCCAATTAATTCAGGATTAAAGATTCCACCTCTTCCATCATTTTCTCCATCACGATATGAAGGAAAAAATAAGAATTATCAAGAAATCATTTCAACGAGCAATCTTCCTCGGTTCATTGCGATCGGCACCGATTGGCGAACGCTTTTTACGACCCGCTGGCGCTACACGATCGAGTCGTTCTGGATTTTTTTTTTTCAAACGACTGAAAAATCGTAAATCGCAAACGTGGATTGGTTGTTTTCGTCCGCGAGATTTGTTTTAAAGAATAAAAAAAATCATCGCTCAAGTGAGAAGAGTTTGCGGGGGGAAGAGCGGCAACCTTCGCAGTAGAGGTCAGCGCCTTCACGTCACAAACCCCTCAAAAAGCAACCGGGCAAAGATACCACCGTGTGTATATATCTGGCAACAACAAATCAAGTAACTTGATGATTTGCACAAAAACTTAATCAACGTGTCAAATTCAAATTCTTGAGTGGAAAAAAAGAAATCGTCGGGAATCGCTGGAAATCGTCGACCCCCTCCGTGCCAATTACGCACGGAGGGGAGGAACGCAACGGGCGGGTGGCAGCAGCAGGAGAAGCGAATTGTCGGGAGCGGGGCGGGGGGCGGAAGAGATTTTTAGCGAAGGGGGAGGGTAAAAAAAACTCACCGATGACGGTGGAAAGTGGCCTGGCTCCATCGTGGCGCCGTGCGCGGTGGCCTTGGTGTTCCCGCGTGCGCTCCTGCCGGCTAGAGGCAGCCGCTGCATTCACGTGCGTGGATATAACACAGCCACCACAAACCCCCGCGCTCAGTTTTTTCCCCTCCGCGGGCTGCGCGGTTTTTGGGCCGTTCACGCTCTCGTGGGGTGGGTGGGGGGGAGGAGGTGTGGGGGTAGAAGGGAATCGCCCCAAAACAAAGACCACTGGGGCCCGTCACCCGCGGCGAAGGCCCGAGGCTTCTTCCTTCCGTTACTGCTGCTGCGTTAAGATGCGGAGAGTGATGGCTACCATTTCACATGCAGGTGGATCGCAAAAAAAACCGGCAGACGAGGGGGCACCACGCATGGTCGTCTTCGTCTCCCCATTGTGCATGTTCACACACTGCACCAGGGACTCATTTGAGGCCGAGTCGACTCAGGGGAGGCCCAGTATCGGTTCAGATAATCGTCACCGGTGTTGGCCCGGGTCCGTAGCTCAACACGTTAATCGCCACACTACCGCTCCCTAGAAGGAGAAGATCCCCTATATAGCCTGGACAGACTGTTGGCGAGGACCTATAGAGGCCTGCAGGGTACACGACGCGGCGGGTAGCCAACATAACGCCCGACCACCTTTGTACACAAATAAGCACGCACACAATAAACGATTGAAAACGTCAGTAAAACTCTTCATATAATCCACTCTCATCATCCACGACACCCGAATCAATCGGACTACTTTCTATTTTCCACACGACGATTCATTCCCCCTAATCCCATCTCTTGCTATTATCCATGCTTACCCGCACGTTTATTCTATTACCCACGCTTATCCACCTCCGATTAGCGCGGCTGGCTACGTACGGTGCGAAAGAAGTTCAACATAGGTGGCCCCCACCACCGAAATGCGAACTTCATACTATTATACATGCTTAGCCACAGATAATCAGAGTAACCTGGAAGTGATAATAACAATGATAACCATTATATTATAACCATTAGACTATAAACAGCTTTCTGCATAATAGGAAGCTGCTTGGAAATAGGCGGCACATTCATCCTATTACCCTGGGTAAGTAACGCTTCTTTGCGCAATAAAACATGATATTCGTGATTTTGTCGATAATGCCCAGCACTCCATAGCAGACTCAGATTGTTAGCGTTTCCAACGTGTTACGTCCACTGTACGCACTGTAAATATATTTAACGCGGGCGGTGAGCGCTATCGCGAGAGACACGTTGTCAACGATCGCGCTATCGCCATCTGCGTACAAAGCGTTTTCCCGTTACGCATTCGCCCACGACAGCTTTCCAGATACCTCTGCCAACTGTTATAACGGGGGAACAAGCCAGTGGTGAAAACACTAACACGCTTCATGGGTCTCTCTCACGCAAAACACGCTTTTGGTACGCTCTCATCGGCTAGGTACATATACAAGCGCCTTTTCTCTGTGCTCATCTCAGATATAAGTGGCTAGGAGATGTTAACTACCTCGCCTGGTATACAGGAGGTCGTGGGTTCGATCCTGACCCGTGACACGTGCTGCTGTATATTTGGAGTTTGCGTGTCTCTCTCTCCTCTCTCTCTCCCCGTGGTCGCGTGGATTTTTCTCCGGGTCTTCCGGTTTTTCCCCTCCACATTTAGAATCAACACCACGCGTTTAGAGTATTTTGATACTGCTATAAATGTTCACGTGATGAACAAAAATGGCTCCATCTTGTTATTTCCGTTGCCGACCTCTGATTTAGAGGAACGCTCTGACCCCGTGCCCTACTGGACGTCTGTGGAAGAAGAGCTTCATAGCTCATCAGATTGCTCCGGTATAACAGTTGCCACATAAGCCACTTCGTTGAGCTCTCATTTTGTGATAGCAAGGTCGCTTCTGAAATAGAGTTACACAGCTCAGTGGAGCTTTACCCGGTAAAATAAAAAAAATAGTTTTTCCTCTTATTTTAGTTTATAGTTTTAAGCGGTGGCGCATGCCCGTAATCCAGCGCTGTGGAGGCAGCAGCGAGGATTGGTGGATCGCCGCACGAATGCTGTGAAACTCCCTTCCCGTAGGCATTGAGCGAGAGGTACGACCTGGCCAAATTGACCAAGGGGTTGCCGAATACTTGGAGATACAAGACAGTGTGAAAAACTATTACTGGTAGGAACTTCCTGGTTCCACCAGCCCACAGGGGATTATTGTGTCCGTCCGTCGTGCATCCAAAAATGGGAGGGGTGGGGCTGGGTGGAAAGGGGAGGGTTGGGAGGGGCTGGGTGGAGAGGGTGGAGAGGGGCTGGGTGGGGTGGTGGGGAGGGGCTGGGTGGGGAGGGTGGGGCTGGATGGGGAGGAGCTGGTCACCCCGTGGTGCCCTTATAAAACTCAACGTTTAACCTACTCACGCCGGCTTGTGCCCGCCCTCACAGTCGGGCATATTTGCGGAATACACCACGCCGCCGTTGACCCTGGCCATTGACCGAGCAACACAACGTTCCTACCAGCTCCCTCCGCAGCAGGAATGTGTTTATGGCACTGCGGAGGCAAGGGTTGGTGGATCGAAAACGTCGTGAAACTCTACCTACGGTCGGCAGTATAGCAAGTGGATTAATTGCCATCTCTTTTCATCTGTACAGGGATAGAGTGTTGCCCCCTCGCACATGCGTGGGTTTTCTCCGGGTGCTCCGGTTTCCGCCCACATGTATAATGCACACTCATCGTTAACCGTTTCCCGTTCCGATGACGTACGTGTATGTCATCGTTTGGAATGGAATCGGAAGAAAAAACGAAAATAAAATAACTTATCTTCAGGTCAGGAGACGTACCGAGGCTCCAACAAGCCCATGGCGGGAGGGCGCGTGGCATAGTTTGACTATCTTAGAGTGCGATCGTGTCGCTAGTTCGCTGCGGCGAGTAACAATGTCTTTAAAACAACGGCGCTACTACGCCACGACGCACGCGTCGCAGGCCCGCACTCATTTTGACAAAATATAAATGCCGGCCAGTCGTTATCGCAATCGGAGAAGTAACACCCCACCCCCCTTTTCTATAAACCGGGCTCGCTAATTGCATCTCCAAGTCAAAATTCCGACGCCCGTTCCACATCCCGTCGCGTCTCCAGGGAAAGGAAACGCGTGTGCTCTTCCTCGCAAAAAGTAGTCCCCCCCCCCTCCCCCCCACCGCGCCAAGCCCCTCTGTGGGAGTAATGCGGCTCGCCAGCTGTGCGTGCGGAGAGCTTATCCCGAATGTAATCCATTAACGGGGTAGAGATAAAGCCGGTGACCTGCACGTAGACAGAAGGGTGACTTGTTGATTTTAAAGTGTGTGTTTCGTTTTCGAGGCTTCATTCCGGACAGGATGCAAACCGCACACAAGTTTGGAGGGGCAACGGGTGTCAACGTGCCGAGCGCGAGCGATTCATTGACAGCTCCTTTCTGCGGCAAGGAAACATCAAGTTTATTAAATCCCTGAATGGATGAAAAGACGGCGTCGTGAGAGATGGTGATAGCTCAGGGTGGCCCTCCAACAAGCAGTGGACTGAGCATGGATGACGACGGTCGTGGACGTAGACGATAGAGGTGGGGGGGGGGGTCACCGAGTTCGTAGCGCAGTGCACTGGCCACTACACTACTGCGCCACATTAAAGACAAAAATACATCACACATCGTCACAAATGTCTGACCCCCCCCCCTTAAGTGCGTGACGTCATTTATGAACGCCCCCTTACACTCCCGGTGCCCACTTCCCCATGGCAAAGATCCCCCCCCGTGTAGCCTTAACAGACTGTAGGGTCAAGTGCTGTTAACGAGCACCTCTGAAGGCTGACACAGCACACGAGGGGGTGGGTGGCCAGCACCACGTCCAGCCGCCTTTGTCTCCCCGGTGGCGATGTTTACACACCACACCAGGTACTCATTTGAGGCTGAGTCGACTTCGAGGAGGCCCAGGACCTGTTCCGATAATTCTCACTGCTGTTGGCCGTGAGCGGGAATCGAACTCGGGTCGCTGCCGGGTTCGTACTGCAGCGCGCTAACCGCTACACTACCGCTCCCCACTAATACCACACGCGCACGCACACACACGCACGTACACTCTGTTGGACGTGCTTGGCACCGTGGGTGGTTTTTTTCCACGACGATGCAAGCAAGCCCCCCCAAACCCCACCCCAGATACACCTCACCCCCCCCCCCCCACCTTCGCCGGCACGCACCGCATCCGCGAATCTCTACCGCAGCTCAGGCAGCTGTGACGCGCGAGGCGGCAGCCGCCGGCGAACGGATATTTCCCGAGCGCGTCAAACGCAGCCAGGTTCGTGCCCGACCGCACTCGCCACGGGGCAGTCGCGGCAAGCGGCAGGCGCCGCTCTGGATACGGCCGGCGAGCGCACGTGTACGTTGGCACAGCAGGGGGTTCACACAGCTGGGCTTGCGTCTACCGTTCAAGTTCATTTATTAGGTATAGCCCTGTGAGCCATTCGGCTCTTGAATCGGGTGCAACCGCAACAAACAAAAAACATGAACAAAAAACATCTTAAAGTGAATATGTGACTAAGTGCAAACAGAAAATCCAAGAAAAGACAGCAAAATATTGCAGAAAAAACACCGTACACCAACGCTGTGTGCAAAAATCTCAGTCAGCCAACACATGGCACTTGCCGAGTCTGTCCCGAGCCTCCTCCTGTCAACGAGCCTTTGACATTTCACGTGGCCTCAAAAAGTGCACCTGGCCTGGCACAGGCGACGTAGTGACGTCACTGTCACGTAGTGGCGAACGGCGGGTATTGGTATGTACGTGTGTCTGCACATCGTGTACCTGGCTTGCTCACTGACTCGAGCTCGCACCTGATAGGCACCAGCCTCTTTCCAAGCAGCTTCCTATTATTATGGGGGCACCACGGTGGCAGGATGTTAACCGCCTTCGCCTGGTATACGGGAGGTCGTGTGTTCGATACCGACCCTGACGCCTGTATATTTGGAGTTTGCTTGTCTCTCTCGCTCCCCGTGGTCACGTGGATTTTTCTCCGTTTTTTTCCCCCTCCACATTCGGAATCAACGTGCGTTCAGAGTATTTGGCTGCTAT